ATCACTCCACCTGCCCTTATGAGTCCCTCCATCTCTCCACCTGCCCTTACGAGTCCCTCCATCTCTCCACCTTCCTTATGAGTCCCTCCATCTCTCCACCTGCCCTTATGAGTCCCTCCATCACTCCACCTGCCCTTATGAGTCCCTCCATCTCTCCACCTGCCCTTATTAGTCCCTCCATCTCTCCACCTGCCCTTATGAGTCCCTCCATCTCTCCACCTGCCCTTATGAGTCCCTCCATCTCTCCACCTGCCCTTATTAGTCCCTCCATCTCTCCACCTGCCCTTATGAGTCCCTCCATCTCTCCACCTGCCCTTATGAGTCCCTCTATCGCTCCAGCTGCCCTTATGAGTCCCTCCATCTCTCCACCTGCCCTTATTAGTCCCTCCATCACTCCACCTGCCCTTATGAGTCCCTCTATCGCTCCAGCTGCCCTTATGAGTCCCTCCATCTCCCCACCTGCCCTTATGAGTCCCTCTATCTCTCCAATTGCCCTTATGAGACCCTCCATCTCTCCACCTGCCCTTATGAGACCCTCCATCTCTCCACCTGCCCTTATGAGTCCCTCCATCACTCCACCTGCCCTTATGCACAGCAAAATCCCCAGTGTTAAATGAACACTGAGAGTGAGAATTATATAAACTCTGATCAGAGCGTTAAATGAACACTGAAGCAGTGTTAAAGTTATTGAGATAATTAAGTGAATAATTGAGTGATGATTGAGCATTATTGAAGACACCTGATGTTAACAAGCAGAATCACTGAAGGAGAAAACCGGAGTTTTAAGTCACCATTATGGAGATCAGTGTTTGGTTTAGCTGGTCTCTTGACCCTTAAATCATTAACTTTACATTTTGTTTGGCTGCTGTACATGAGTTATAACAGCCAGATGAACAAATATGGTGATGGTTGTGTTTCAACATAATCATTAATTCACAATCATTTGACCTGAATCACTGAATTCATATGGAGCCTAATTTCTGAGTTAGGTTTACTTTATTAATTATAGCAGCAGTGACCTTGTGCAGCATAATATTCTCAACATCTACAGAATATTCAAAATAATTTCTTAAGAGCTTTTCTTATACAATTTTTTACTTCTCTACAATGTTAAGACACACAGACATCAATAATTAGCCTGTGAATCTCAACAATGGCAACAGTTATAAAGCATGTTGCATTGCATTCTGGGTGCCACCAATCAAAACTCATTCATGGCTCCCATCATGCATTGCTGCATGAGTAAATAATGAAATTATGTTCAGAGGTGATCTGTTTGCCACCATTGCTGAGATTAGTATGTTAATTCTTGATGTCTGTGTGTGCCTATATAAAATATTTTTGGGATATTTAAAAGAAAAATTTTTTATCGTTTTTCATTGAAAAGGCTAAAAATGGTATGTCCTAAAATGACCATGCTGCTAAAATCCTTAAAGTAAATTTAACTCAGAATTTATGCTCTTGATGAGTTCAGTGATTCAGGTCAATTAATGATTATGTTGAAACACAACCAACACCATCAGATCGCCTTTTCTATTTGTTCATCTGGCTGTTATAATGTACAGCAGCCAAACAAAATCTAAAGTTAAAGAATTAAGGGTCAAGAGACCAGCTAAACCAAACACTAATCTCCATAATGGTGACTTAAAATGTCCGTTTTTCTCCTTCAGTGATTCTGCTTGTTAACATCAGGTGACTTCAATAATGCTCAATAATCACTCAGTTATTCACTTAATTATCTCATTAACTTTAACACTGCTTCAGTGTTCATTTAACACTCTGCTCAGAGTTTATATAATTCTCACTTCTCAGTGTTAATTTAACACTGGGGATTTTGCTGTGTGATACCCTCCATCTTTCCACCTGCCCTTACGAGTCCCTCTATCGCTCCACCTGCCCTTATTGCCTCAGATTGTGAAGCGCAGCAACAAGCTCTGGGACGAAGGCACAGTCCCCTCTGGTGAATTCATCAGAATAAAGCCGCAGATTGGGAACCGCTGTGTTGAGTCGGCAGTAGGATGTGGTGTTCAGCGGCTGTAAATACATGCTTGTAGTTTGAATAAAGCTTTGTTTCATGTGTTGTTGACTTGTATATGCATTTCTTTTCTTGAAAAAAAATGTTGTTTTTTGTTACAATTCTGTTTCTATGTGTTTCACATGTTCAGCAAGTCTAATGTGAACACATCAGTGTTTCAATGTGTTTCGCATGTCTATGCAAATCTAATGTGAACGCGCCAGTGTTTCAATGTGTTTGTTCGGCAAGTCTATTGTGAACGCACCAGTGTTTCAATGTGTTTCACAAGTGTTTCAATGTGTTTCGCATGTCTACGCAAGTCTAGGCGCCAGTGTTTCAATGTGTTTCACATGTCTGCGCAAGTCTAATGTGAACGCGTAAGTGTTTTAATATATCCGGCCTCCCATAACTGAACCCTGACACCTATGCTTTTTAAGTTCTATAAATATGTCTCCCCATACTGTAAGTTTTATACATATAGGGGTGAATTCAGATTGATTTTATTATTTTTGAAATATAAGATAAGAGGATAAGAAGCATGTGTGTTTGTTTTTGGTTTAACCAACACTATCTCACGACCAATTCGTACGAATTCGACGCATGATTAAAAAGTGGCTAATTCGTACTAATTCGTACGACCTCACTCGTACTAATTCGTACGATTTGTCTAAACCCACGTGATGGTTAGGTTTAGGGGCGGGGTCAGGGGTAGGTCATTCGTACGAATTCATACGAATTGGCCAATTCGTAAAATATGTACGATTTAGCAAAATCGTATTAATTCGTACGAGTGAGGTCGTATGAATTGTTACGAATTAGCCACTTTTTAATCATTCGTCGAATTCGTACGACTTAGTCGTGAGATCGGGTTGGTTTAACTGTGTTAGTAATCACTTACACTTTTGACATTAAAAAGTAAATAGAGTAAAAGACAATATGATATCAATTAAAAATTACCCAGGTGAAAAAGACGTACTATTAAATAGCTTAAATGTAAATAGTGTAAATATTACATAAAAAATGTACTAGTTTGTTTGTAGTACTGCAAAACCAATATACTATAATACATTTTTTATACATTTAAGGGTACCTATTTTTCACCAGGGTAATATAAACAATTATTCATTTTGGGGTGAATTCAGGGAGATTGGGACACTTTTGGCCATTAAAGATGACTTGGAAAAAGTCACCCTGAATTCACCCCAAAATTAATAATTGTTTATTCATTTCTAATTGATGTCATATTGCGACTGAATATATGACATCCCTGTCTTTTGCTGTATCTACTTTTTAATGTCAAAACTGTAAGTGAATAGCCTACTAACACAGTTGAATTATGTTTTATAAACAAAGTTCGGGAGGAGCACGTTCAAATAATCATTCCGAACATTTTGACATCAAACAATTACAATGTCTACCCTCAGCACGATATATATATATATATGTGTGTGTGTGTGTGTGTGTGTGTGTGTATATATATATATATATATATATATATATATAAACATTCACCGTCAACTTACCTAACATTCCTTGACAGTTTCAGCATCCCTCCACAACCCCGACTCCTCACTCTTGGCTAATTCTTCACAGGGGGAGTACTCTGGGTTCGGGCCGAATACCGAGCCCGGAGCCCTCTCCTCGGACAGCACGCCAAATAAGCATTTATTCCATAGATTTATTCTTTCTGACTTATTTGTAAGTGTGAACTCGTGAAACAAAAAAAAAACAAAAAAACGTCGGCCTATATAATAATTTTCTAATATTTGTATACATATTTGGGCCATTCCACCAAATGGGTGACATTTGCTTGTTGTAACTCTTCAAAAATAAACGTTATTTTTGATATTTTTCAACACTGAATCTAATACTACACATATTTAACTATTCAAAATGTTGATTGGTCAATCTCAGGCAAATTTAATTTATTTTTTTACAAGGTTTAAGCAGAATATGGACGCATGTTTTCTTAATCCTGTTACTGAAAATCATGTGTCATTTAAAAAGCAAGTTTAGAAGCATGTCAATTAATTCCTTTGTTTTCCCCACAAGAATGTTTTTATTTTAAGAAATTGTTGGTTATATGTTCAAAAAATTGATATTTGTGCCAATTAAATCACTATTAAAGCAAGGTGAATTTTGATTTAAAAAAAAAAAAAAACACAAAGGCATTTTTTCATTTTAAAGACGACCAAAGCCTCAAGCTTATTTTTTTTTAGAGTTAATTCATTAAATGGCCAAATGGCCAAACAAAACTGAAAAAAAATAGTGGTTTAATTTTATTTTTTTAGAATTTAGAGTTTAGAGTTTTTAAGCAAAAAGATATCAAATATAGGCTATGGCATATGGCCACATTGATGCTAATAGCGTGAGGACAGTAAGCCATTTGTTTTGCCTTACTAAAAGTTAATATTTTTTTAAATAAAAAAAGAAAAGTTTAGGTGTTAGATCAAATGTTTTTTCTTTTTCTTTTTTCATTTTCAAAGCAGTTTGGATATAAAGTCACACAACAATGCAAGAAAAATCCGATTTCTGAAGGATTTTAATCACAATATTTAATAGTAAAGTTTAGAGATAGAGAATTGGGACATGCAGAAAATACTATTTTTTATTGTTCTGTGTCGTTTTTATTAATGTTTTTAATTATACGTTTCAAATTTATAGTTAGCTTAATGTGCATGACATTTTGCTTAATAATAAAATGTATTTCATGCAATTTTATACATAATGTCCTGGGGACAGAAATGTCACCCTTTCTGTGCAATGGCTCATTTATATATACAATTTAATTTTGTTTTGCAATGTTTTGCAAACTTTCTGTTAATGAAAAAGAGAAGGAAAAAAAATTCAAGTGAAACGTATCAAATTACCTCATGTGTGGTTAACCAATCGAAACTGATTATGGGCACTCATTCCACCAACGAGAGGCGGCAGGAGGAGTAACACACACACACACACACACACACAGTCCTCGCGTAAACGTAAAGAGCTTGAAAGTCATATTAACAGATGAGCTCTGTCATTGAGGCATCATCTCGGATGGACTGTAACACTCTCTGAAACTTTCTGGATTTAGGAAAAGCACTAAAGAAGTTGGATTTGAGTATCTCGGGTTTAAATCATTAGTGATCATGACCGAGGATCAGGATAAGTCACGCGCGGAGACTCCAAGTAGCCCGGCCGGGTCATGCAGCTCGATGTCCGCGGAGGACTCGGACTCGGACGCGTCTTCACCATCTCCCGCTGGCTCTACCACACACACTTCACTCATGATCACGAGGATGGGTAAAAAGCTAGAGGAGGATGACAGGTTCCCGGCGTGCATCAGGGACGCGGTGTCGCAGGTTCTGAAGGGTTATGATTGGTCTCTGTTGCCCATGCCAGCGCGAGGCAGCGGCTCCAGCAAGAGCAAACCGCACGTCAAGAGACCTATGAACGCGTTCATGGTGTGGGCTCAAGCCGCGCGCAGGAAGCTGGCGGATCAGTACCCGCACCTACACAACGCCGAGCTCAGCAAAACACTCGGCAAGCTCTGGAGGTAGGCTAACACATGTGATCATCGTACTTTAAGTAGATGTGTTTGCCTATAGATATTTTGTATGAAGCCATAAAGGCATTTTAATACGAAAGAGTGCACGAAGTTTTCTTTGTTTGTAAATATTGATATAACCTGACATAAATTATTATTTAAATAAATAAAATAATGTATATGCAGGTAACAACCTTGTTATTAACCCTTGAAAAATGTGAAGTTCAGGATATCTATTACTACAATTATCGGGTATTAAGTCCTATTATTATTATTATTATTACATATTTACTTTACGTAAGATTAAGTAATGTTTATACTTTCTGAAATCAGTATCTTTCGGTCTGAAGTTCCTTATTCAGTGAATACAGATTGTGTGTTTACTGAATGCGATCAGAACTGGGCAGCGCTTAACATGATCTGAGGTTGACCCCTCCCTCATCAACTACTTGATGAATAACGCTCTGAAAGTGAGTTATGATTGATAATTATGTCACTCAACAGACTGCTGACGGAGAATGAAAAGAGGCCGTTTGTGGAAGAAGCCGAAAGATTGAGAGTTCAGCACAAGAGAGATCACCCGGATTATAAGTACCAGCCGAGGCGACGGAAGGGAGTGAAGCCAGGAGCGAGTGAGTCTGACGCCGCCGTCGATCTATCCCATCACATGTATAAAGCTGAACCCGGCAGTTCTTCAGGTCATATCTCTGATCATACAGGTGAGATACACACTCTTCACATGGAGCAATTTATAGTGTACATGGTACGCAAAATAAACTGTGTAAGCATCATGTGTGGTGATTATCCACAGGCCAGCCTCATGGACCCCCGACACCCCCAACAACGCCCAAAACAGACCTCCATCATGGAGGAAAGCAAGATTCAAAGCACGAAGGAAGGCGTTTGCTCGACAGCAGTCGTCAAAACATCGACTTCAGCAACGTTGACATTTCTGAGCTCAGCACAGACGTCATCAGCAACATAGAAACCTTCGACGTGCATGAGTTTGACCAATACTTGCCTCTCACCGGCCATGTTTCGACGCCGATTACCTCAGAGCACGGGCAGAACGCCAGCGCTTACGCTTCACCTTACAGCAACGGGGCGTCCTGGAGCCGCAAAGGGCCCGTGGCATCTTCGTCCCCGGGCACGAGTGAAGTGAACCTGCACAGAGCTCACATTAAAACTGAGCAGTTGAGCCCGAATCACTACAGCGAGCCCTCGCCCTCTCACTCCGAGTACAGCGTTTACAGCCCGCATGCGTTCGCCAGCGCTCAGTGTGACTATACAGACCTCCAAAGCTCCAGCTATTACAGCCCTTATTCCAGCTACCCGTCCGGCCTCTACCAGTACCCGTACTTCCATTCCTCACGGAGACCGTACGCCAGCCCCATCCTCAACAGCTTGTCCATTCCCCCATCCCACAGTCCCAACGCCAACTGGGACCAGCCCATTTACACCACGTTATCCAGGCCATAAGGGCCAGCCGTTATTATGAGAAAGGACAGCTTTAGCTGAGGGGATTTGTGCCAACTAACTATGAAATAAGTGCCTGCTGATTTTTCCACACCATTCGACGTTGACTGTTGGTGCTAAATGTGTGAGTTTATGCTTGTACAGCCAGTTATAGCACTTGCAAACGTTTCCTTTTGATAATCCCAGGCGTGTTTTGTTGGATTTAGTTGGTTGAATCCTTATTTTTTTTAGAGTATCCCTGTAGGGGAAATATCTGCAGTTTTGTGTTCAGCTCACAGTCACCAGATAACTCTAAATGAAATCATTGAAAAATAATGGATGACCAATGGTTAGCAATGAAAAATTATGTTTTATTGTCTTTTTATGTGTGCATAATTTCAGTGAGCACTTTAACATGTCAAAGGCTCTTAATTTGCTGTAATAATTGCATTTTTAACATCACCAGTCATTGATATCACGTGCTTATTGTCATTGACTGCCTTGAATAAAAGAAAATAAAAATTAATTATACAGCAATCAGCTGAAAATGTTGAGGCTGTGAAACAAACACACGAAACAGTGTTTACTCTGCATTGTTCTAACATCGTCTAATAGTAATTGCTGACAATATTTGTGTAAAAAAAATAAAACTTTCTCTTAAAACTTACTTATCTAAGCTGATGGTTACTATTGTGTCGAGTCACCTTTATTTATATAGCGCTTTTTACAATACACAGTGTTTCAAAGCAGAGATGTGTAGAAGAAAATAGCATCACATTTCAGCTTAAGTAAGTTTAGTGATGGTTCATTGTTGTTGTACTGCTTTTATTGCATTTAGCTTGTTTTAGAGCCTTTTGTGAGAACATAACTTAATAAAAAATCTGCATAATTTTCTGCACACATAGTATTTGGTTAAATAAAGAGCTTTTACATGCATACGTCATTTATATATAGATATACTGTATAGCATCACCAAAAGATCTTAAATCCCAGTTTCTGCTTTGGGAAATAGTAAGTCACTGTTCCCGGCAGCTGCTGGAGTTTGTCTGTAACCAAAGCAGCAGCTGTCACTGTCAGGAACGGGTGCCATGATTTTATTCAACAAAAGGTTTTGTAATTTTCGTACCATAACTAATTATGATAACATTTCAGTTAAGATCAGAATGTTTTTAACCCCATAAAGTACACGCGATTTAGTAAATGGATGGATGTAGGCAGGGTAATTATTTTAGTGCTGTTTATTTCAAACGAATGAACAGATACGAGAGGATACCTGTTTCCTTGCATGCAGTGTGATTCTAATAATCATCGATGTTGCATCTTTATTTGAATTTTTTAAAGATGTGCTTTAAGAGAATTACACATCTGTCTGAAATCATATTCATGTTTCACATTTTAATCACAATTGATTTTAGTCATACTAAACGACTAGGACAGAAACTCAAATGTACCACACATTCAGTTCATCTTTACAGTGTGAAAACCACGGAAATGCTGCTCAGAAACCTCTGGTGTGGGGTAGATTGAGAGTTAATTCTGCGAGTACGGAAGGGATGAGAAGTGTCTGGGACTGCATGTGGTCTGCTGGGTAGAATTTCAAAGCGAGGTCTGGCATTCAGTCCAAGCGGTCCGGGGAGGAAGCACGGTGCCATTGCAAAGAACTGCTGAATTTTAATGATCTATTCTATTATGTAGTGGAGGGCTCTATTGTCTCTCTTTCTCCGGCAAGTAAGAAAAGAATTAATTGGATAGAAAATGGAGGGGCAGAAAAACTGACAGTCATTAGCGGGGATGTGAATGGATGATTACATGCACACGGGTGGATATTTTTCCATACTGTACTGTTTAACTGGAATACAGTCTGATGACCAGTATGGCAATTAGGAAAACTTCAGCTCATAATCGTGACAACCGTGATGATAATAATAAAACTGATAATTAATGAGCAGATGGGATGTGGGTGGCTTTAGGAAGACTTGTTTTTCACTGTTAAACTCTCATTTCCTCTTGTGTTGGCCAGATAGTTTGAGGAGGAACTCTTAAGAGAGAGCAGACGTGACTCAAGTGCATTAAATAAAGGCACTTTTCTCTCTCAGACATCCTTCAGATTACTGCATCTGCACAGTCAAACACAAGTTAGGAGTAAAGCAAACACACAATTGCATACCTTTCGACTTTCTTTGAAGAACACCAACACAACCCTGTGTTTTTATTTGATAGAGTGGTTCAATTGACAATAAATAAAGCATCAACAGTTTCAGACATTTCCAAAACAGCATTTCCATTGGCATGGCTCAAATTTATCTGACCATCATCAATTTGTAGCAGTAAATGAAGAGATGTCATATCAATCACATTTTCAGTATGGTGTACCACAAGGCTCCGTACTAGGACCGCTGCTGTTCATTAAAAAACATGGATTTAATTGTCACTTTTTCACTGACAATATTCAACTCTATATTCATAATTCATGAATTTACAAAATTCATAGCTGATATTAAAAACTGGATGACTAGCTAGTTCCTATTACTAAACTCAGACTCTCTGTCAAGTCTTTGTTGTCATTCAGATAGCGATCTGTCATTTGAAAGCGCATTTATTGCATTTCCATAATAAAATATCTCTAAATAAGGACATATGCCATATGCCTGCCAAATTGATTTGATTTGAGATCTTTATTTTGAACATGTAAATAATAAATAAAAATACAGATATTAATCAATGAAACAAGGAATATCAATTAAAAGAAACAAAACAAAAAAACAAAAACAAAAAACAACCCTCTATTTACATGTGCAAAAAGGAGTAGGAAGAAGTAAAACTTATGTACTCCTACCCCCCTATACCATATTTAAACAAATACCTAAAAAAATAAAATAAAAAAAAATAAATAAAAATCTAAATAAGTAATCAATCTATAATCCATGAAAGTATTGATTCAGAAGTTCTATACACATAAGGATGTTTCCCGATACATGACAATATTTATACTACGGGTTAATTCAACATAAGCTCAAGTTAACACTATGTTTCTCTGTAACTCTGGAATATAATTTCTTTGAACATCTTTTTAAAATGAATTATGTTTGGACATTGCTTAAATTCATTATTTAGATTATTCCACAACTTAACACCAGAGACAGACAAACAGAAACTTTTCCTAGTTGTTCTATAACTGGTAGTCTTGAAGATTGACCTTCCCCTTAAGTCGTAACACCCCTCTCTTTCCAAGAACCTTTTCTGTATACTACCAGGCAATAAATTTTTCCTAACCTTAAACATAAATATTGCTGTTTGAAATTCAATTAGATTAATTAGTTTTAGTGCTTTAGATTGTAAAAATAATGTGTTGGTGTGTTCCAAATATCCTGTGTTATGAATAATTCTAATTGCTCTTTTTTGAAGCATAAATAAGGATTGCAATGAATTTTGATATGTGTTACCCCAAACCTCTACACAGTAATTTAAATACGGTAACACGAGTGAACAGTACAAAATGTGGAGTGATCTGTAATTTAGAATGTGCTTAGCTTTAGCCAATACTGAGATACTTCTAGACAATTTTGTTTGGATATGTTTAATGTGAGATTTCCAGCAAATCCTGTCGTCTATAATCACTCCAAGGAATTTAATTTCATGTACTCGTTCTATATTTACACCCTCGATCTGTAGCTGAACTTGATTGTTTGACTTACAATTACCAAATATCATGAATTTAGTTTTGCTAAAATTTAAAGATAACTTATTAGTGTCAAACCACTGTTTTATTTTTATGAATTCTGAAGTGATTAAGTCCAGGAGTTGCTGTAAATTCTGACCCGAAATAAAGATGTTTGTGTCGTCAGCAAATAATACAAATTTGAGTAGTTCAGATACTTTACATATGTCATTTATGTAGAGAATGAATAATTCTCTACATAAATGACAAATGCAGGAAAGTTAAATCACACATTTATAATCTCAAGGCTAGATTTTTGTAATGCATTTCTAGATTTACTGAATCAATCAGTCATACAGCTCAAGTTCAAAATGTTAACCTTGAGACAGATCAGATCCAAGGACTGTTCCCTTTCGAGGGAGCTCGCGCTGCGCGAAAGACGACACTTTGGGGAACGCCTTCATCGTGACCCGTCTGAAGCCTGTAGGGACTAGTCCAATCTCGATTCCCTGTTCGATGCGACAGGCCAGGCGCGTCTTCAACCATGGGGTTCGCAGATGGAGTTGGTTGACGATATTGAGATGGCTTTGGGCCTTTCAACATGTCGCACTGGTATAGACCATTTCACAAGATGTAAACAACACTGGTCCAGAAGCACTTCCTGTTTCAGTTTGTAATTGTTTTCTTTATTTCACATGTAAAGAAAACATCTTAAAGATGTTTGTTTAACTTTTTGATTCAGTTTTAAATGTTCTGTTGGTTGTATTTTATCCCAGCTTTTGTGTAGTGTTAAAAAACTGAAACAGGAAGTGCTTCTGGACCAGTGTTGTTGACATCTTGAGAAATGGTCTATATTTGTGGCAATAGCCAAAAAACAATTGTTCGGGTCAAAATTATCGATTTTTTTTAATGCCAAAAATCATTAGGATATTAAGTAAAGATCACGTTCCATGAAGATATTTTTTAAAGGCGATTTTCTCAATGTTTGCATTCTCAGATTCCATATTTTCCAATAGTTGTATCTAGGCCAAGTTATAACAAACCATACATCAATGGAAAGCTTATTTATTCAACTTTCAGATGATGTATAAATCTCACATTAATAAAATTGACCCAAGTGACTGGTTTCGTGGTCCAGGGTCACATATAGTGGTGGGTCGGGCTGGTGCATGCCTCCATACGATGGGGATTATGTCTAAGACTGGTTGCCCACTGAAGCTAAGCAGGGCTGAGCCTGGTTAGTACCTGGATGGGAGACCTTCTGAGAAAGCCAGGTTGCTGCTGGAAGAGGTGTTAGTGAGGCCAGCAGGGGGTGCTCACCCTGTGGTCTGTGTGGGTCCTAACGCCCCAGTATAGTGATGGGGATACTATACTGTCAAAGAGTACCGTCCTTCGGATGAGACGTTGAGCCGAGGTCCTGACTCTCTGTGGTCATTAAAAATCCCAGGATGTCTTTCAAAAGAGTAGGGGTGTAACCCCAGCATCCTGACCAAATTTGCCCAGTGGCCTCTGTCCATCATGGCCTCCTAATCATCCCCATCTATACCAATTGGCTTCATCACTGGCTCCTCTCCACCTGTAAGCTGGTGTGTGGTGAGCGTTCTGGCGCACTATGGCTGCCGTCGCATCATCCAGGTGGATCCTGCACACTGGTGGTGGTTGAGGAGATTCCCCTCTCTATGTAAAGCGCTTTGAGTGCTGAGAAAATCGCTATATAAATGTAATGAATTGTTATTATTACTATTATGTCCCCAACTAAGCAAGCCAGAGGTGGCAGTGGCAAGGGACCAAAACTCCTTCAGTGACAGAATGGAGAAAAAAACCTTGGGAGAACCCAGACTCAGTCGGGGGCCAGTTCTCCCCTGGCCAACGAACAAACAAGGTTAAATGTCAATATCCCTCCCCAGCCCCATTACCTACTCGAAGCTCTACTTGTAAAATTTCCAACTGGCGTGGACTTTTCCATTTAAATTCACCTAATTTGGCGTGTACTTTTTAGCTAATTTGGC